GAGAAAAGTTAATATGAACCGTTAATATCAGCTAAAGCTCAAGGGTTCTAAGATTTCAGTCTGGACTTGTTAGGAATCTAATATTATGACAGTGGTTAGCAACTTATAATATCAGGGGTGTACAACACCTCCCTCGCCAATGTAGCGACTCCCGGCGCTACCGTAAAAAAAACTGACACCAAAAGACAAAACAAAAAAAAAAAGATTATTCAATTCAAGAAAAATAAATAGCAAAAATCGCAACAATTCATTAGATTTGACTAAAAAAATATTAAATATCACGAAAAGGAAAAAAAAATTATCAATCCCCAATACGTTTGAACAGTAATCTTAAATATTCTTAAATTAGCTTTTAGATTTAAATTGGAAATAAAAGATGTGAAAGTTCACTATTTCTTTAACTAATATTTCTATAAAATTATAAATTTATTCAAGATATTTTCTAAATTTACCTAAAACTTGAGATAATTACTCATTAGACATTAACTAAATCATTGACTTTTGCAATAAAATCTAAATTAATACTTGAATTTGTTTAGGTAAATTTAAAATTACAATTATTATTTAATTCAAGGAATCATTATCAAAATTATGTTCACTATTTGCATACTACATTAAAAAAATCAATAAAATCAATTGATAATCAATAATCAATAATCAATAATTAATATTCAATAATCAATAGTCAATAATTAATAATTAATAATTAATAATCAATATTCAATCAATCAATAATCGATAACTAACAATTAATCAATAAGTCAAGGAAAGGAAATCAATAATTAATGATTGATTATCAATAATCTATTATGCTATATTTAATAATCATAAATCAACTATTTAAAATTAATAAGAATGTAATAAATTCAAAATTAAAAATTGATAATGATTGAACGTTAGAACATCTGTATTCATTTTCACCAAATAATATGTTGGCAGTAAAACACCGCTGTCACAACGACCAAATAATATGTTGAAAAGAAAAAAAAATGAAAAAATTGGTAATGATTGAACATTAGAACGTCTGTATCATTTGTCTCACAAACTCTGTATGCATCTTTAAATAAAGGCATTGACTTTTTGGATTTGCTTGCATAAGGGTTTTTGTCCGTTAATAATTCTAAATCGTCGTTTTTAAATCTTCCGTATTTTGCGTTATTGTCATAGGATTCCTTTGCGTTGGTTTGTTGATAACGATGTTTGTTTGTAGTTGTGATTACCTCTGGTTCTTCAACTTTTTTGATTGTTTTCTTTGTTTGTAATTCTGAACGTTTGTTTGTAAAATCTGTGTCTGATTGCATTTTGTGCGTTTGTGAAATTTGTGGGTCGTTTAAAATTTTGACTGTCTGTTCTTTTTCGTTATTTGATGTTGTTAAAATTGAAGCGTTTTGGTCAAGCGTTTCTTTGAATTCGTCTTTGTCTTTTACTTGCTGTTTGTCGTTTCTTGGGTCTTGTTCTTTGATTGATTTTGTGCAAAATTTTTTGTTTTCAATTTGTAACAAAACATTTTCGTTTTTGAAATTTAATTCCTTTTGGTTGGTTTTATTTATTAAAAAGGAATTGTAAATTTGTGATTGTAGTTCACGTACTGTAACAGTATCGTTGTCTGATGTTGTTGAAGGTTTTGGGTCTTGGGTTTGGGAATTTGTGGATTCGTCGGAGTTTGACATACTCTGGGTATGTGTGTTGGAGGTTTTTGTTGCATTTTCTGAATGTGTGTGCGAATAGTTACATTTTTGTCTGTGTTCGTTGGTAGGAGTAATAAAAGTTTTTGATGCGTTATAATAGTTTCGATTTGTATTGAAATTTCTTCGATTTGGATTTTTACAATCATAAATTAAATGTCCCGGTTTTTTACAATAATTACAAAATGTTTGATTATCATTATTTGAATTAGCGATATTCCTTTTATTTAAGAAACATTGTGGAGCAATATGCCCACGTTTTTTACAAATGTAACATGTTATATTATTATTTTGATCATTTCTAATATTTGATGAATTTTGACAAGCTTCTTCTCGCAAAGCGAAGTCAATAGCATCTTTGATATCAGAAAATCGGCAACATTTGACTAAAGTTCTTAGAGGTTCTGTTAAGCCATTTTCAAAATTTTCTATACCTACTTGTTCGAATGTAATTTGTGTTGTTGCATAGTCATGTCCTACTCTAATTATGTTCGAATAATGAATTTGTCGTAATATTTCGTCAATTCTGTCTCCAAAACTTTTTACTGTTTCTTTGTATTTTCGTTTTAAATTGTTTAATTCAATTAATAAACTAGCAATTGGTCGTTTAGCAACATATTCTTTAATCAAATAATATTTTAAATCTTCCCACTTATCAAAATTAATAAATTGGATTTTTGCAACAATTTGTGGGTCTAATTTCAATTTTATTACTGTAAGCAATTTTTCCGCTTCTGATGGATTCAGATCCACCGACAATGCATCACAAGCAGTAATAAATGAATGAAGCATTGAAGGTTCCCCATTGAAATTCGGGATTAAAGCAATGGCGGTTTGAATATTTAATTTTCTTTCGCGTGAAATATCAGTTGGTTCATTCATTTTTTGAAAAGATGTGAAAAACTATTAAAACAGAAGCGCAAAAATATACAAAAATATATTAAAAATTAGCTTACTGACAATGAGTTGTAATCCTTTTTTAATTGAATATCCTTTTGGTTCACTTAAATTACACAATATGCACTTAAACTTTTATAACACATGAACAATGATTTTGTATCACTTTTTGATTACACTTTGATTTCATTTTTCACTTTAGATTTTTCACTTAAAAAATAATATTTGAACTTATCTATTCTTGTTTCTTGATATGAAATATCTCCTTTTCTCCTGGTCTCTCGTTGAAAATTTCTTGTTTTTTGATTCTTGATTTTCTTGTTTCTCCTTGATACGATCCATGAAAATTTTACTTCGGGTTTTGATTTATTTTATCACTTCGGGTCTTGATTTATTTTTTTACTTCGTGTCCTGATTCATTTTATTACTTCGGGTCTTGATTTATTTTATTACTTCGGGTCTTGATTTATTTTATACTTCGGGTCTTGAATTATTTTATACTTCGGGTCTTGAATTATTTTATACTTCGGGTCTTGAATTATTTTATACTTCGGGTCTTGAATTATTTTATACTTCGGGTCTTGAATTATTTTATACTTCGGGTCTTGAATTATTTTATACTTCGGGTCTTGAATTATTTTATACTTCGGGTCTTGAATTATTTTATACTTCGGGTCTTGAATTATTTTATACTTCGGGTCTTGAATTATTTTATACTTCGGGTCTTGAATTATTTTATACTTCGGGTCTTGAATTATTTTATACTTCGGGTCTTGAATTATTTTATACTTCGGGTCTTGAATTATTTTATACTTCGGGTCTTGAATTATTTTATACTTCGGGTCTTGAATTATTTAATACTTCGGGTCTTGAATTATTTTATACTTCGGGTCTTGAATTATTCAATATTTTGAGTCTTCTGTTTTCTGATCATCAACTACGTCCACTTTTGGCAAGGCTATCCTCGGAGGCAAAGTTTTCCAAATCACGATGTACTGCCTATTTTAAAGTAGCACCCTTATATTTTTCTTTTGTCACTCTTGGCAGTTATTTTTCAAACGCCGTTCTTTCAAGCTCACAAAAAAAAATTTTGAATGTTACTTCATCAGTCAAACACCGCTGTCACCAAATAATATGTTGGGCACCGCGTTGATGAACAGAAAGGGCTGTTGGCGCCGCTATATGCAAATCGATGTTGTTGCTCTGGACCTTCCGACTTTCCTGAAAACTCACTTGCTGAAAATACTTGAGATTGATAAATGAAAAGACTATTTCAAAAACTTCACTTTATTTCACTTTAAGTACAAGGAACTCGGAGGTATTGGAAGAGAAGTGTTTGCCCGGCGACCGACAGATTAAGACTGATTTATTTCATAATTATTAAAACTAAAATCCTTTGAAACGTAGTGGGGATTTGTCTCGAATATTCTATGCAACGAAAAGGACAAAGTAATGAATTTAGCTGATTAAACAAAATGTTATTCATGCGAACTTGGTGAGAATTGTTAACTCGGCGGAATGTCGATAATAGGATCTTGCTGAGATTTGTCGATGTAGATTTATGATTTCGTGAGAGAATGTGTAATGTCAGCTACTACGCAGTAGTCTGAGAAAAGTTAATATGAACCGTTAATATCAGCTAAAGCTCAAGGGTTCTAAGATTTCAGTCTGGACTTGTTAGGAATCTAATATTATGACAGTGGTTAGCAACTTATAATATCAGGGGTGTACAACATATATATATATATATATATATATATATATATATATATTAAATGGTAGAGATATATGTATATATATATAATAAGGCGGATCGATTTAAATGCCGCTTAGGCACATATGATTTTCGGGTACTAAAGATCAAAATAAGATTCTTTGCTGAAGAAACCATACCTCTAAAATGAATTCTGATGTCCCGTGCATTGACGCAAAAATAAGGGTTGAATTTGAAAAATTCCGTTTTGGGCCATTTAGAGTGCCTTAATCGCGTCCACATGTATGACCGACCCCCACAAACTTCGAAAGGCCGATCCACCCATGCCTATCGTTCAACCCCTGGGACCACCTCTTAGAGGTTATTTTTTTAAAACCTGTTTACACATTTATCGGTACAGTTTTTTTTATCAAATCCAAATTGAGTTCACTGAACAGTAGAGTTCTCTCATATTCCACTTTCTGGCAATACTTTGCCATTTATCGATACTATGGTAGTTTATCATAAATTCAATAGAGTTTCTGTAGAGTTTCTTTATTTATTTGTATATTTTTCAGATTGTTCATTGTTAGATATTCTAATCTCTTTATCAACTATCGATTCATTTTGTCAATAGAGTTTATCTTTCATTCACTCTCTGCAGAACTTTTCATTTATTATTTTACTGGTTACTTTTATTGTTACATATTTATTTGTTTCTCTAGGATGAAAAAGCGCTATAAACAAAGTTACAATGAACGGAAGCAAATCATAAAAAACAATCGTAAACTTTTTGGAAAGTTCGATGCCATTCGGGACAATGACATAAATATAACGAAAAGAAATGAAAACTGTGCAGACGAACAACTAGATTTCAGAAAATCTGATGATTTTAGCGCGTAAGTTTCATTTAAGTTCTGAATTATTATGATTTTTTTAAATTTAATATATGTGTACCCAATTCTCTAGCATGTTGTCCAAACGTGAAAAAGAACTACAACGTAGACGATCACACGTTGAAGCCCTTCTTCTGTGGTCCAGAAGACTGGACGAGCGAGAAAAGGAAATTTCAGAAATAGAAAGTCGTCTGCAGTTGGCCAGAAATCAGAAGCCAAGAGAGAATATTCCAAATAGGAGCTCGAGAAATTTGGCAGAAGAATTCTACAATGAGAGACCAGTTATTCCAAATCACAATCAGAAATATTTACAGGAAGAGGATTATAGTTCAATAAACGATGCAAGCTTTGTGTACAGGAATCAGCAGTTTAGTCAGGATAGACGATTGTTTGATGAAACAAAACATCAAAATTTTGTTTTGGAAAATATCAAGCACGATGAATATAAAAATAATGCCCTAGACAAGTCAAAGGGACTGCTGGATACTATAGTGTATGAACGTCCAAAATATTTTGTTGACAACATACATGAACAAAGATCAACCAACGTTTCACAAACATCCTCTAAGTTCTATGTCGATACCACAAATCGAAAAGCATACTTAGACCTCAGTGCCCAAAAATTTGGCAATGAAAATTTCAGACACATTGGCTCATTGCAAGATAAACCAAATCGTGTCAACAACACTGTTGCAAACAAGGATATCCCAAATTTACAAAGAAAATTTGGGGACAATCCTAATGTAATCGAAGCACATGATGGTCCAATTTATGAAACCATCCAACAACTTAAAATTGAAGATGAGAAGTTATCTAAAGATGCAAAATCATACAATTTGGATCGATCAGCGATGGAAACAGTTCATGTTAATTCCAAAATATCTCATTTTGTTCAAACCGGTGGAGAAAATGTTGCAAAACCCAGAACTGATAAAAGTGTACAGACGAGCAAATCTAAAAGGGTGAAAGGCAGTGATTTAAATCGTCTTTGGAAACATATTACAGGTTCTAAGAAAAAACTCTACTCGGACTCCCAAGTTTATAAAATGTCCAAAAGGGACTTAGAAAATTTTTATGAAGATGCTAAGAAAGAAGCAATGATGCAGTTTTCTGAAAACGATGATACTGTTTTAAGTGTTTTCCATAATTCCTTAAGCGATGAAAATTATGATCAGAATGTTCAAACGATTACGTATGATAGCCATGGTCACCAGGAACAACCTAAAGTGTTTACAAATGTTGAACAAATTTTGTCAGGACAAAATATAGTCGAAAAGACTTTAGCAAACTTTGGACGAAACGACAATATTATCTCAGAACACATCATAACTAAATTTGATGACTTATCCAAGAACAGGAAAAAGTGGTCCATAGATCCAGACAAAAAGATTTTTAGTGATGCAAGTTCCAGTAAAAATAATATTTCCACTAGTCAGAATTTGTCAAAATCTATGCAATCTGATCGCAATTTGAAAGAACAACAGTCGACGGAGAGTGTCACCGAGGAAATTGTGTACAGCACGAATTTTGAGAGTGAAAGCCAAGTTCTTACTGTTGAAAGTCTGAACCAAATAGTAACTAAGATTCATGACGAGATAGAATTTTCAAACGTTGCTAGTCAATCTAATAAAGTCACCAGTGAAAATATTGATGAGAACTCCCTAAACATTGTTGAAGATTTAATAGACATGTCAGATAGCAAACATTTACAACCATCTGATGATAACAAGGCGAGTTCATCAATAAACGATAATATTTATATAGATAGTAAAAATCAGGAAGTGTCAACAAAAACAGCATCATCCAAAGACTATCCGCAAACTTTATCAAAAGCATCATCGCCATCTCGCGTCTTAACAGTCATTCCTGAATCCATTAATGGTTTGTCAAAATCACATAATTTATCAGATGAATCCAGAAGAATTGTTAAATCCGGAGAATCGGGTACTGAAAATTTGCAGTTGACTCATGAGAATGCTTTATTTGAAAATACATCAAATAATTTGGTGTCTGAAGCTGTATTGAACGAATTGAACTTCCAAAATTTAGTTTCTGAAAAATCACAAATTGAATCAGAGACTTTGAAAATATCTTGTTCCAAAGAACGAAGTGAATCTAAAACTAGAAGTTTGATTTCTAAAGTTTTTCCACCTTCACACAGTCAAGTTCAATCTAGTGCAACATTATCAGAAATTAGAGAAAATGTTGTCTCAAAGCAACAGATTGATTCTAAAAGTTCCAATATATATACTGAAGATGTTTCCAATAGTAAAAATAGTCAAAGTGGGAGTGATTGTGAAAAAAGGATGTTTAGAGCGTCCAAAATTGGAAATTCTATGAGTGATAATTCACCAACATATTCAAGTAATAAAGGAAATCTTGATAATTTTGAAAAAGAATCAGAAAAAGTGATATCTGAGCATTTAAACAACGAAATTTCTAAAAGCAGAAGTTCCACCAGCGACCACATACCAATGTCTCAAAGTATCAAGACTGATAATTTCAGCAAAGATTCAAGAAAAATGGTATCAAAACACGGTATGGCTGAAGATAACTTGTCCAGTGATAATGTAACCATGCCTCGAACTACCGATCATGATAATTTTAGCAAAGAATCAGGGAAAGTGATATCCGAGCATCTAAATAATCAAATATCCATAACTAGAAGTTCCACGACTGATCATTTACCTGTGTCTCAAGATATACAGACAGATCCTGATAATTTTACAAAAAATAAATCAGGCAGGACAGTTTCAGAGCAGTTGGAGTCTGACAGTCATTTGCTCAGTGATAATGGAATCACATCTCGAACAAATGATTGTGACGATTATAGCAAAGAATCCATAAAAGTGATTTCAGAGCAAATATGTGCATCTACTAGCAATAAAGTGTCAAAAACTACAAGCTCCAACACTGATCATTTACCAGAATCTGATAATTTCAGTAAAAAATGTTTTAAAATGGGACTAGAGAAGTTAGTTTCCAGTGAACTCAACTCTAATTTAGAATCCAATGCTTCTGCAGAATCAAAATGTAAAAATAAAGAAAGTAGTATTCTTAGTAATTCTATGTCTGGTTCAATTTCGGAACAAATTAGCTTATCACAGCATGTGAGTAAAAATAAAACCAACAATTCCTTCTCAAAAAATGACCAATCTGATAAAAGTTTTGGAATTAAAAATTCCGATGTTAAAATTATTAGTGTGTCAAGTATTGATATGAGGAGTAAATTAGATAGTCAGAGATCTGGTAAATCTCTTCGTGAAACTTTAAAGAGTTACTCTCCAGAAAAACAGAAAACTTCTTCAAGATCAGAAGCAGTTTGCGACAATTTGGCAACTGCCACTTTGTGTAACCAAAATGAAGACTACAAAAATTATTCTCAAAAGCAACAAATAGTTTACTATTTCACTGGCCAAGAAATGGATAGTAAATCTAACCCTTTAAACTCTAAAAGCCCAACTAAATCTGAATCCATCCAAACATCACCAGAAAAACAGACATCGTCAAGTGATAATTTAGCAAATATGCCTCAAGAAGTCACATTACAAAAACTTAATGATATCTTGTTATCCGATTATGCCAACTCTGTTTCCAGCCAATATTCTATCAGCGTGGATAAAGTCTATGAGGAAAACGAGGATTATATCAAGTCACAAGATTCTAATGGCTCTATATTAGACACTACAATAACTGATCACATGATGGATGAAAATGAGGAGCCTATGTCTAATGTTTACGATAGCAAGGAATCTACAAATGGGGATGGAACTGTTGGTACTTGTACTCTTGCTAAGGCAAAGGAAAGAAGTATTGATGATGATTTTGTGGGAAAAAATTCCTGTGGTTCTCCAGCTAGATCTTTAAGAACAGATATTACATTCCCTAATTATGAGATGTTGTTTTTAAGAGATGTGACTAAAAAGTATGCACGAAGTTTAGATGACGACTTGCATAAAATATCAAAATTGACAGAAGAAGAGTTAGAACTAGAAATTGCTCAAGATCTTATCATCTACAAGCAGCTGGAAGCTAAATATTTGACGCCATGTTGGAATGCTCTTAATGGAGTCTTGGATGAAAAATATGAAAATGATTTGGAAAAGAGTCTATTGAAAATTGATACTGGTCTAAAATCTTTAAACAATACCTTCGAAAAAGTTCCCATATTAGACAAACTCACTGACACATCTCATAATTATCCTTCAGACTTTGACAGCAATGTCTACACGTCCAGCGAATCTGAGAAGAAGTCTAACCAAAGTTCATACTGCGGCACTAATGAAAAGATCAGGAGTGCCAGTAGTAAACCTGTGGAACAACCTAGTATGAGAAAGGAAATAATAACTGAAAGTGAATCTGATCGACATCCTAGTCAGAGCTCTTCACAACGCAGTCCACCAAGAAGGATTTATCAAGAAGATCAATTTACAGAACCGAATGTCAAAAATGTGGCTAAAGAAAACAAACCTACGAAAGAATTGTACTCTGACCAATATACACATGAACCTGAAAAGCTGGTTAGAGTATTTCCTAGAGATCTATTTACCGATACACTTTTAGATCAGTCTTACCAAAGCATCATTGACGCTCAAAACCTATCACCTAGAGGAAAAAATCACAAACCTTTTACATTCAACAATGTAGATCACCAAAATCTCTCACCTAGATTACCCGCAGATAACGTACATGCCGAATACGTATGTGCTCGTGTCAAAAATCTGATATCTTTGCATTTGGAACCGACGATTTTTGAAACACCAAGTGAAGATGTAAAGTTTTCTGAAAACTCTATGAACTTAGAAAAGGCTTTAAATGAATCTGGCGGGTATCAGAAGATTGAGGACGAATCTGGTTTAAATTTACTAGACGACACCACAGGTGTGGATAATGAAGTACCTGAGGAGATATTCTGGTACGAGGACGAAAACGATGGAAGTTTCAAGGAAAATGAGTACAAAGGCGATGCTACGTTTGATTTTGGAAACAAAGGTAATAACATCTAAATTTGTTATTCTACAGTCGCCCCCACCATCTTCTTTCTATTTTAGCTACTTCAATTGGAGAAATAAGCCCACCTAGAAAATCCTTTATCAATGATGATGAGAATGTGTCAGGAAATCGTTCTAGTGAGGTTAGAGAACGCGTGAGGCAGATCATGGAGACTAGGAATAGTCCATGCCGTACACAAGTTGGTCATAGTGATAGCCACGTTGGTTCACCCAGGTTGCAGGATTTGTGGATCACCACCAATGAGAATTTAACACCTAGTCCAGGGAATAGCCCACCAGGTAAGGGAATGATGCGGAATATTATGTAAGACTTTAATGATATCAACTCTAGCAGACACGAAAACCGTATTTAGATTATCTTTAATTTCTCAGATAAATTATAGTAATCGCAAAGTGAACCAAAATGAAATTTTTGCATATCTACCTGACTAAGGTATCTAGTATCTATGTGTGTATGTTTGGATACAATTTTTTGTCCACGATTTCGGGAGCACAGACCAACCGAATTAAATGATTCTAAAATCATTCGAGATATTGGTCTTTGGCAAAGGCAGGCCCAGCTGTTTCGGAGATGTGAAGCACCAAGAGCAAAAAAATTGCAGTTTTTGAAAGAACAGAGCATCTGATTGGAATAATTTAAAAAAAATATTTGCTTTTTATTGATGGGTAGACGAACAAATTATTTTTTGGCGGAGGCAAGTCCACCCGTTTCTGAGATACAGAGTCAAATGTGCTAAGAATATTAGTTATTGAGAGAACGGAGCATCCGATTAGAAAAAAACATAGTTAGTGTAAAAAAATATTGATTTTGGCACCACTAATTTATTTTTCATACATTTTAGATCCGATCCATCAAAATCTTTTATGTTTTTATTATTGCTTAAAGAAATAAATAGTATATCTTAGTAACTTTCCGACAGTGAAGAACATGATTTTGCTAGAAAATCTGATTTGCTAATTTTATGTTTTCTCAACATGGTTTTGAATCGTTTGATGCCGAATCTTTTTGCAAAAACAGCTGTATCGATTTCAAAGTTTTAAAAGTCATTTGTTGAAACTTGCGTAGATTAGATCAAGCAACTTCATTGCAAATCACATTAGAAGTTTTACTCCCATAAAAGTATTATTTTTTATATAAAACAATATTCATAATAATAAGTTTTGAAACAATCATGATCTATTTTTAGTGTCACCCGTCATAAGTCAATTGAGCTCGGAAGCTGAAGAACTTCGAAGAAAACAGCTGGAAATTGAATTGGAGGTATGTCCAAAATAAATACATTATTTGAATATAATGATAGCTAATATTCAACTACTATGGATATTGTATTTACAATTATTGTAAATGACTATATGATCTGTTACTTATTTCGTTTAAATTTGTGGTACATATTAATATTATTATACCAACGTTTTAAAAATTTAAAAAATCCAAAATAATATATAAAATTAATTAAATTAATTGAATTAAATTCATAGATTTTTTTACTACTTATCTTATAATTCTTTATAATGATATTTAACTAATATATTTTTACCATTACTCGTTATATTAAAATTTTTACTTCTCTTTTCAAGATAAAGCGACTGCAGCAACAAAGTGAAATACAGTTGGAGTTTTATGTAAGGGAAATTCCAAATAAGCCTCCACCTCCCTATACACCTCCTCTGAAGACAACAACTAGTCAGCAACCAGAGAGCAACCAGGTAAACACGCTGGTGGAAGAAGACAGTGCATCTTGTGTAAGTAAATAGATTCTAATAGCATTTCAAAAATTAGGGTTTGGTTTAAATAGGCTGTTTAAACATACTTGTACAGGACAGGTTGTGAGAATGTTTATTTTATACTTTGTTAAACCATTAATAAACCTTTATTAGTTCGGGATTCGCCGTGCGTGTTTGTGCAAAGGGGACGAAACTTAACAGACGCACTCTATCGCAAAACATAAAGGTGCGGCCTCACCTAACGAACGAACATGACGAATAATATGCGCAGACATGTTCGTTTCTTAGGTGAGAAACGTACCTTAATAGATTGTAATGCAAAATTTAGATTGAAATACTCGATTAATTTTTATTTCAAACTTTGCGCCATTAATTTGAATGCAAATTACAGCGCCATCGTGCCTGAGCGTAGTACCTTTTAACTAGCACTCTGAATCATGAATATATCATATTCCAATTTTGTTTAGGCAAACAAATATCTTTCAGGACACCTTTTTTGTTTTGCAGAGATTTTGACATTTATTTGTTAATGGATTTCTGTTATGGAGAAAACAAAATATTAAGAGTAATTATGACAAGTAGATAATAACAGAGTATCTAATATAGAGATTTAATTTAATCAAGATATCTAGCATTTTTGCATACAATGAAATTTAAGTTGAACATAATGATTAAAATAATATTGAATGCGATTAATGTGATTTTGAACAATTTATTTGTGAGACTTAAGGTAAGCGTTGATTTAACTAGGATAATATTAACAAGCTGTAAGTTTAAGAATAAACTAGTGGGGCGCATGGCTTCGTGCCTTATGGCAAATTGCTGGAACTTTCCGTACCGTAACTAAACATTCGAGGAATGAAAATAATCAATAATTGATTTGAAGATTTTGAAATAGATTATATATTATAAACACATAATGTAAATTTGTGTAAAGTGCTTTTTAAATTGGGCAATGAGCGTATTTTATAAACAACTCATGTGTACGTTTACAAAAGTCCATTTTTTATTTCCGAAATATTCTCAAGTTTTTGTTAGAAATCATTTTTGTTTTAATTTTTCAACATTTAGTTTTTTCTTTTGAAAATAATGAAAAAATTCCAAAAATTTAATTTTTTGAAAATTTTGATTTTTTTTTTAATTTTCAAAATTACCTACTAAATTTTCTGTAAATGCATTTTTTGCACACCATCTACTCAAGCAAAAAATTAATCTAAACGGTTTGATAATCCGTTTTCTCAAAAACTGCTTAACCGTTTTTACACCCTTTGCGCTCCATACCTCCAAAATGGCAAAATTGCCTTTTGCAAAAACGCCTCGCGATCAAGTACGAAACGAATGATTTTTTAATCATACAAATCGATTATTATAATACGACATATAAATAAAGTTCAAAATTAAAAATCTTGGTACGAAACCCAAAAAAAATTTACACAAAATGTGTACACAATATTAAAATCTCTATAATATATCTGATAATTTGATGTACATATGTCCAATAAACATTTTTGACCGTTATGTGACATTTTTTTAACTTATTTTTATTAAGAGTCCATATCCGCTAGACCTGCCTTCCCAAAAATTTTACCAGCTGTTCATTTCGTCAAGCAAAATGTTTTTTGAATTATTAAAATTGGACGCTCCGTTCTTTGGGGCACTTTTTGGCCCGAATTTTTGGAACGGCTAGACCTGCTTTCGCCAAAAACTAATCAGCACGTCTTCTTATCAATACGAATCAAATGTTTTTTGAATTATTCAAATCGGTTGATCGGTGTTCCCGAAATCGTCGACGAAAATTTGTATCCGCAAGCACACACACGCACACACACACATACATCCATTGTTTCTAAGGTATGCCAAAATATTCAGAAACCTTTGAAACGCAAATTAAAAATAAAACTTTTCATTTTCGATTTTTGTGCGGGTAAGTTATAGTAATGGGCCGAAAATCGAAAATAATTTTTTTTCTATATCTCCAAGTTTGAACATTTTGGCATAAAATGGATGTTTGTGTGTTTTGTGTGTCCGCATTTTTTAGTTCACGTTTTCGGGCGCACGGATCAACCGATTTGAATGGTTAAAAAAACATTCGATACCTTTTGATAAGAATATATGCTAATTATTTTTTGGTAAATGTAGGTTCAGACGTTACGGCGATACGGAGCTAAAAGTGTAGAAAATAGAAATAGTGCAGTGAACGGAGCGTTTAGGGTCTGAATTTTTTTACTGTGCTCCGAATTGAATGAAATTTTGGAATTAGGTTCATCTTACCCTCAAGTTTAAAAGTGAAAACAATTCGGGTTGCGGTATCACCCCCCGGGGGGATGACCCCCCTTCTAAATTGTGTAATTACATTTTTTCAAAATAACGCCGGAAAACGATAAAAGAACTAATTATAAGAAAAAAATGTCTTCTATAGTTTTTCAAAAAAACTAATACTTTTCAAGTTACTGGCCACTAAAGATTCATATATTTTAGGCGTTTTTCTTCGTTTTTTTGCAAATATCTCCTAAAATATACCTTCTAACGAAAATCTTGTAATGAACAAAATAATGTCAATAAAATCTTAATAAATCGGTATTACATAAAGTGTTCTAGGAAAAATATTAAGCAAGGTTTGAAAGAGCGAAGTCGTTTTTTATTTCGTTCAAGATTTAATTGTTGTATTTAAAGCCATCTAGTGTCGAGGTTTTACATTTTATGCATTTCGGTGAAATTGGGTTTTATAGTGCTCAACATAAGCTTTAAAATGAGTACTGTTACAAGTTTTTTGCGTGTAAAATGAGTGAGCTATCATGCAAATAAGAAGCATATACAAAGTTTTTTTCTTTTAAATCATATGGTTTAATGAGCGCCATTTCCACCAGAATTAAAGTAATTCACATTCCATCTAGCATTCACTTCATTATAGAAATCTTGATGGATTCCAGCAGATTCACTACTTTAGTACAAACTATTTTCGAAAAACTCACGCTTTTATAAAAACTTTTTTTTCCAATTTTTTTAAAAATCGAAATTATTTTTATTATTTCTCAAAAAGAATAAAAGATACGTATAAAAGCATATAGATCAAAATCAAAAAGATCTTTCTGGCTTATTATTATTTTTTATTATTTTTCTTTCACACAAAAATTGACAGAGTTATGAATGTTTAAAGACTGCGCGGCCGCGCAAATTGAAAAAGAAAGTTTTTATAAAATCGTGAGTTTTCTGAAAATAGTTTGTACTAAAGTAGTGAATCTGCTAGAATCTATCAAGATGTCTATAATGAAGTGAATTCTAGATGGAATGTGAATTACTTTAATTCTGGTGGAAATGGCGCTCATTAAACCATATGATTTAAAAGAAAAAAACTTTGTATATGCTTCTTATTTGCATGATAGCTCACTCATTTTACACGCAAAAAACTTGTAACAGCACTCATTTTAAAGCTTATGTTGAGCACTATAAAACCCAATTTCACCGAAATGCATAAAATGTAAAACCTCGACACTAGATGGCTTTAAATACAACAATTAAATCTTGAACGAAATAAATAACGACTTCGCTCTTCCAAACCTTGCTTAATATTTTTCCTAGAATACTTTATGTAATACCGATTTATTAAGATTTTTATTGACATTATTTTGTTCATTACAAGATTTTCGTTAGAAGGTATATTTTAGGAGATATTTGCAAAAAAACGAAGAAAAACGCCAAAAATATATGAATCTTTAGAGGCCAGTAACTTGAAAAGTATTCGTTTTTTTGAAAAACTATAGAAGACATTTTTTTCTTATAATTAGTTCTTTTACCGATTTTCGACGTTATTTTGAAAAAATGTAATTACACAATTTAGAAGGGGGTCATTCCCCCGGGGGGTGATAGCGCAACCCGAATTGTTTTCACTTTTGAACTTGAGGGTAAGATGAACCTAATTCCAAAATATCATTCAATTCGGAGCACAGTAAAAAAATTCAGAGGTTATACCCTTTTTTCCTCTCCGTTTACTGCACTAAAAGCGAGTTTTTGAGAGAACGTAGTATACGATTTGAATGATCCAAAAAACATTCAATTTGTAATGATTGGGTGAAGTGGTGATTAGTTCTTGGTAAACGCAGATCCAGCCATGTTGAAGATACAGAGCAACTGTACAAAAAATGGCATTTTTTGAGAGAACTAAGCATTTGATTTGAACGATTCAAAAAACTTTCTGCTTGTGTTGACAAAAAAAAATGCTTTTGATTTTTTTTGTTTTCATTTTTTTATTTATTTATGTTTTATATATTTTTATATGAAATAATTCAGATTTTAATTTTAATTCTGACTAAAGTTCTAAAGCTCACGTATATACTTTAAATAATAAATTTTAACTTTGTAATTTAGTTTATATAATTCTTATAAATATTCTTATAACTGTATTTATATCAAGCAATTTGCCTTAAGGCACGATGCCATACACCACTAGTTTCAAATTTAATTCGGATTGTATAAATAAATTTCAATATTGATTTTTATAGCTTTATTTTGGTGACAAAATTTAATTTATAACAGAATGGTAATTTATTGAATTTAATTTTAATTTGTCGCCGGTCAGGAGCCAAAAGCTCCTTGTTTTTTTCCAAAAGCTTTCCGTGTTCTGGAGGATTTGATGTTTGGTATAAGAAGTACGCATAGATAAATGAGTTTAGTATAGATCGGTGAAATTGTTATTATATTGCATTAATTTTTCACAATACGTTTAACAATTAAATCGTTAATTTCATTGTTTATCATAAGCACGGCATTTTGGATGTTAAATTCATGAACCATATGTGACGTAACTGTTACATAATAGACAAAACAAAGATTTCTCCAAAATTTGACTTTGGGCCGACATTTGATGAAATTCGATTACGACTTGCGTTGGTTATTTTTTCGCGACGATTGGTCGAGTCATTTCTTAGAATCAGCAGATAAGTCCAAAAAAATTTCGTCAACGTCTTCGTCAAAATTTCTGAATCCATTTTGAAAATTCAATAAACCATTCGGAACATATCAATTGTAAATCGCGCTGATTAGTTCCGGTGCTTTAGTTTGGTTAGAACATCCTAATATATTTTATTGACTTACGAATTGTGATCTAGCTATAAAGAATCATTAACGTTTGAAATAACTGTCCGAGCCCTTTGAACATCACTGTATATGTGTTAAGTGCGTGTTCGATCTTGTCATATGATTTATAACCAGTGGTGTCGTGCTATGATTTTTTTGCTAAATTTAAAAGTGGGTCATTTATTTTTGTAACTAGTTAGTATTGGTATTTTGCCTTGAGGCAAGTTACATGAACTTCCCGAAATGTGTAAATAATTGACTTAATCAATAAAAAATAAATTAATTTATGAGTAATTATAAGTATTCCGAGTGGATTTATTACACATCATTGAAAACGAACGAACGAACACGTTAACTCGGAGTATTTTCTAAAAGCAAATTTTCAACAAACAATAATTTTTATAATTGTACCAGTTTGCATAGGACTTTAATGGTTTCGTATGTTCATTAAGACCAAGTACCTTATCGTTTTACCAAGTAAATTGTCTAATTTTAATTTTAACAAACGTCAAAAAACTACTCACTTTCTCAAACTTTAATGAATTTTTAAAATTAAAATACTTATCGTAAGGCCGCAATATTTCAGTTAGCTCTATAAGACCATGATATATATCGTCAAAAAAAGTTCCATAAAAATCGGCTTTAATTTTTTTAACGGTTAATTATAAGAAAACAGCTCGGTAGATTTTTACCTAAAACTAATCAGTATCATTCCCATCTAATATCTTTCGAACAGTTTTTGATTTTTTAAAATCGGTTCGGTAGTTTGAGGTTAAATGTGGACGAAAAGTTTAACAATTTTTTTTTCAAATTACAAAGAAACGGCTTGAAAGATCGTCTCACAAAACTGACAAACAATAGTTCTCATTGAGATACATCAAATGGCTTTTAAATTTTTAAAATCGGTTCAGCCGTTTTTGAGGAAACGTCGATCAAAGGTCTAATTTTGACAAATGCCAAAAAAACGATACTAATTTTTGCAAACTTTGAAGAATTTTCAAAATTAAATTTCTTGTCGTAGGGCCGTCATATTTTAGTATGATCTACAAGACTATGGTATCTACCATAAAAAAAAATCATAAAAAATGTCGATTTTTTTTAAAAAAACTTTATTACAAGAAACGGATCTTCGCCAAAAACTAATCAGCACGATTCCCAACCAATATCTATCGAATGGTTTTTGAATTTTCAAAATTGATTCAGAATTGCGGGCTAAAACGTGGACGAATTTTTTTTTACCTTTCTGCAATTTGCGAAGAAACGGCCCGGCCGATTTTCGCACAAAACTCAGAAACGATAGTCCTCATCGAAATACATCGATCGGCTTTTAAATTTTTGAAATCGGTCCATCCGTTTTGGAGAAAACGTCGATTTACGGCAAAAAATCTGTTCACACACACACACATACTTTTTCCAAATTTGGTCTCATTCGAATCAGAATGGCTTGAAACGCCGAGAAAACATAAAATGAGCGAGTCGGATTTTTTGATGAAAACATAAACTTCTCCTTCGGGAAGTTAAATAGAAGATATCTTGCAAAAGAAATCTTGCAGAAGAAATCTAGCTAATATTTTCTAGATTTTCAATTGATATTCTATTTTTCGTTTATTTAAAATAATATTCATATTACTGAATCCGCGCTCACACTCTGTTGAACTGCAAGGTGCAATATTTGTGTATCGAATTAAGATTTCTATATCTTTAGAACTTTGCCTCCAGTGCAATATAATCTCTACGTGCATTGATAGATTACATCGGTGAAGTTAAATTAAATCTGGTGCGTAATGAAAATTTCATTTTCTTCATAGCCAATTTCAAGATCTGCTGGCCACTCCTTTGGATCTAATACTTGAAATTCACTTATTAAATCACTTTCTGTATGTAACCATTTTTTTTAAATTTTGCGTTCCGCCCCGAAAATGATTTGCTGGAACAACGTTCCGGTGCGTCCCGTCACGACACCACTGTTTATAACATTCAAACTATTTGTTGAATATATCTAATATGTTTGGCAAATTTGTGCATAATTGCTTATAACTATGGATCCCTACAGCATAACTTAGTAAACCTATAATTAAATTCATATATTAATTTCTTATTGATTAAATTATTTTTTTACATATATCAATAGGTTCTTGCAACTAGCATTAAGGCAAAATGCCACTTACGCCTGGTTCCATCATGAATGACTAACAATTTTTTTTTTTCCTCTTCTAGCATTCAGTTGCAGTCAGCACCACAGACATTCCTCAGCCTCTATCCCGAGACCAAACAGAAGCCCTAGTCATAGAAAACACTCGAACCCTATACAACGCTTTCATCAATGGCAAAATATCAACAACCGAATACACCTCTTTCTCGGACTCTAACATCAATGAGAAACTAGTCTTCGATCTTTGCAAAGAAGTCATCATCGATCATTTCAAATACACTACCGATGTTCCCATATGGCTTCGGGGCAAAACTCAGCAGCCACACAAGAATGTCTATTATAATTTAGAAGATCTTACACAGTTCGTGAGCAAGAAGGTTTTGCAGTTTATGAATTTTGAACCCACGTTTATGGGTGTCAACAAAAGGTGCTCCACCAGGAATGCCGAAGGATCCATGGAGGTTGTTATGGAAAGAGCAGATTGGAAGAGGAAGGATTGCGATTACGAGTTGCTGTGTAAAGAGAATGTTACGAATTGTATTATGAACATGCTGTTGACGGAGACTGCTGATGTTGTTAGTGAGAGCTTTCGGAGGAAGAATTTGGCTGCTAAGAAATCATAGGAATGGAAAGTGTAAGACTTTAATTAATAATTCTTTTTATTTGAAGTGAAATGATTCATTAGAATGAAGGTACAGGGTACCTTAAATTATCTATGCATTTTGTTATGGTAAATGTTATAATACTATACCATACCATAAAAGCAACTCGAATTGATGATGAGACCAACCTATAGACTCAAAATGTTTGTAATGATTATATAGATTTCTATATATATATATATATCATAATTCTGTACTACTCAGAGAATAATAAAACTATTCACTTAAATTCAAACATCCTAGTAAACTAAAAGACGTAATAAAATCGTTAATACAGCTAGTTACCGAGAAAATGCGAATGTATTTGATTTTACATATGAATCTAAGAGAATTTTTGCAAAAATATAAAATATTTTGGATATAAATCATAGGCCTTGCAAAACATTGTACAGTATATAAATATTTTCAATCATAATTTATAAAATTTACATAATATACAATTAGAAGTTATTACAATATCACGAATTAAAAATATTTAAAATTCATTTAAATTTAGAGTTATCATAAAAAGTACATTACTAAAATAAAGATCAAATAATTTGATGGTGGAAAGTAAATTTTTCTAATGTATTATATATTAATAGAACAAAAATATACATCAACTATAATACAAATAATATTAATTAAATTAATACAATATAAAGTAAGGTTACTTGTATGATCTACGATAAATCTATGAAATCCTCGTCACGTACCAGCTTCATTAGAAACCAAAATAAACTTCCTACGTTGATGGTAATCGACGTAAATGCCACATCTCATTAACATTACCATCAGCTTTGTACAAAGATTTCTCTATTAATGATTTTATGCTTTATTTTTGAGGATATTATTTCAGAAAATAACCATATAATATTCGAATTATTGATGTATCAATCTTGATTTTTTTTCGTGAACAGTGAGTACCAACCGTGAAAACATTGGCATAACATTATTTCATTGATTTATTTTTAAGTTAAGTAACATCTACATAATTCTTCGTGCTTCGCCGAAAAAATCACAACTAATCGTCTGCTGTGAGAAAATACTTGTTTTGGAGCCTTAAATATGTCATATTTTTTAGAGCATTTTTATGCAAAATTTTGCATGACATTTCTTGATACATTTTTATCTCATATATCTGACGGTGTGTGCCAACAGCAAAAACAACGGCATCATAATGTTCAAACATCACAACAGCATAACCAACTGTGTGTTATTACAAATACAAATAAAATTACAAATTAAATGTAAATTATATATAAAATTTAAAAGGAGCATTCTGGGTAGTACATGGGATCTATGATTGCAAAAATATTAATATTAATATTTATATAAAAATAAAAACTATCTTTTGCAGAATTTTAAATTATGGAAAATGAAATGAAACCAGTGACTATTTTATTCCAAGTACAAATTCTCATTTATGTTACTAAAAGTAGTTTTGTGCAAACTATGAGTTTGATCTTCAATGATATTATTATTTTTATTCGTTATTGAATTGTAATGTTTGTGTGTTGTTATCGTTTTTGTATTTAGTGGATCGTAATTGTACATTTAAGCCTTGTAAATATTTATTTTGTAATAATAACAATAAATAAAATTTTTATAATAATATTATGTATTTATTTATTTATGTCACTATATTTTACTTTCTGTTCGTTTTGGCATAATTATGAATCTGTTTGTGTTTTCATATAGTTTTTTTTTTTTTTTTAATTACAATCTGTCACACTTGAGACATTGAGTAATTATTTTGACTTTTTCTTATTATACGAATGGATGGCAACCCAGTAGTTGACCAGTCCAGGTTTGACTAATTATCTATACTCGAAGTATTTGCTGACTTTTTATTATAGATGCAACTATACCCACGAGAGGCGATTTTCACTTGAGGCTATATTTGAGATCTATAACCTCAAGTGGAAATTTGACTTCAAAGTTGCCTGATGTCGGGCTACGGCGGTTTTATATACCGTGAACGAAATATGTTTGTGCATGCCAAACTTAACTAGTGGGCTGTATGTCATCGTGCCTTAAGGCAAATTGCAGGAACTTCCCGTACCGTAACGAAATGTTCGAGGAATACTGAATGTTTTCAAATAGATTATTATAAATATTGTAACATGTTTAATATTTATAAGAATTATATAAACTGAATGGCAAGGTTAAAATTATTTGTTTGAAGTATATTAGAACTTTAGTCTGAATTAAAAATAAAATCTGAATTATTTTCGATACAAAAAAACTAAAAAAAAAGAAATGACACAATTTTTTTTCCAAGATCAATTATTTTGTTAAAACAAGCTGAAAGTTCTTTGAATCATTTTAATTGGACGCTTAGTTCCCTTAAAAACTGCCATTTTTGCACATTTAGCTCTGTATCTTCGAAATGGCTGGGCCTGCCATTGTCAAAAACTAATAATCACTTCTCCCAATCATTACTAATTGAATGTTTTTTAGATCATTCAAATCGGATGCTTCGTTCACTCAAAAACTCGATTTCTATTTTCTGCACTCTTTGCTCCGTATCTCCGTAAGGGTTGGACCTGCCTATGCCAAAAACTAATCAGCACATCTCCCTATCAATAGCAATCGAATGTTTTTGAACCATTCAAATCGGTTGATCCGTGCGCCCTAAAACGTGGACGAAAAATTGTATCCATACATACACACACACATATCCATTTTTTCTGAGGTATGCCAAAATGTTCAGAAACCTTGAAAACGTCGAGAAATGTAAAAATTTTCAATTTCGATTTTCGGCCCATTACAATAACTTACCCTACGGGAAGTTAAAAATTTTGGCTGGGTATGATCCGAGCAGTCTCCGATGCAGACCAAAACAGTCTTCGATGTCAACATAACTTTTATTCGTGATCCGGTGTACTTATTCTGTTCAACAAAGTGTCTACTACAAACTCTAGTTTAGAGCTCCCCTACATTATGCACCAAAACGTGGGCACGCGAACTAATTTAATCAAATACATCCTTTACTTTTTTAATTTTTGACATTTTGACGATTTGACATGCCAACAAAGGCGTGGGGCGAAATTGCTTAACCATAGCGACTGTCGTGCTTTGCGTCTCTAATTTGAGTCTACCAGCGTCACGATTTATCAGAAAGTAGCCAAAAGTTCTAAAGTTTTACTAGATTGCCACATAGAAGTGTACACGATTAATAGTTTGAATCTTATCAAAGTAATACAATATTAATTTTTGAAGCCTTATAATGCCTCTGAGCGCATCGGTTATAGTCGATTCTAGTTCCGTACCCCATTTTCTTGGAACTCTTTCATATTCTTAATATTTTAATATGGTACTGATAAGTTTAGTCAATTTAAATTTATGAAATTATTGATCAGTATTAATAAGCAATACGTATTATAGTTGAAAATTAAACATATTTTTCGAGAAATTATCAACTTTATCACTACCGTACACACAACAGAGGCAGTGAACGTAATACCGTCATAGGAAATTGAATGGAGAATTCAAAACAAAATATTTTTAGAACTGTAAGATGGTTAAAAATAAAAATTAATAATATAAACTCGTTTTTTTAGATTCTTGTGAGCCTTTCTTCGGATAACTACCATCGAGCCCCAAAATAATTTCTGGTATTTAGATCAATCGAACAATTACACAAAATTAATTTTTCTTAATTTTCAGTATTTTTTTTATTTTCTCAGAAGCGGTTATAGATAAAGACCTGAAACTCGCAGCATCGAAGTATCTTATGAGTACAAACATTCCCTGAAATTTCGATCCCAATCCATATCTGGGGCCGATTCGGTATACTTAACGTCTTATCGCCTTTGAATATGTTAAAATTACTGAACTGCGTTTTTTTCACATCGCTATGTATACATAATAACTATACACAAAATGAAAACTGAATGCTTCCAAAGTCGAAGTACATGAATCAAGTACATATTGGTACTTACGTGACAAAATACAGCTTTCCTATTGGCCATTGTGTATAGGCTACAAAACAGTTCATCCATCGTCGAATAGGACGTGCTCTATTCGTAAAATGCGGCAGAAATTTTCGAGAAGTTGTCGTGAAATCAGTTACCGACGTTGCTAGGCAACGGTTATAGACAGAAATTATGTTATGGATACTGCCGTTGTGAATAGAGATCTTAAACGTAAAATCTGGCTAGCAAGATCGTTGTGGCTCTAGTTGTAGTAGTTTCAGTCCAAGTGAACTCCAGACAACGCTTCCAAGCTTTAATGACGGCTTCACAGGTACCAGGGTTTTTCATTCACGTAGAGATTTCTTTGTTTGGCTTTATTTTTAGACAAACTACGCGAACAGTTAGTTATAAAGCGTGGACTGTACATTTTAGTAAATAGATCCGTGTCGATAGAACAAAATGTATAATAAACTAAAAAAAAACGTCGGTGTTGTTTAAACCATGTATTACTATCAACTGTTTTTTAAATGATAAAATAAAAATCATGAAAAGCTCAAAAATGCGGGTCAAAAACCTCCTACCAGGTTTTGGTGATTTACAAAAGCACATCATTAGATGCCGACATAATTAATTACATTCTATCCAATGAGGTTTAACTCTTTTCCGTTGCATCGGTTATGGAGTAGATCGTTCAGTATCCATACTTTCTTGACTACTAATAGCATTTTTGTTCAGACTATTTCCCGTGCTTTGGTTTTTGTCATCACTTATTTAAAAATCTGTACAGATTATACTCAGAATATGTAAATTATGTAAATTTAAAGTACAGATTATGGATTACTCTTACGAGTGCAATATATTGATGCGAGAGCTTTTCACACACGTCCAATCGTGTGGAGGGTTCGACCTGAACTCTTTATAGTTGCATATGTGTTTTAAATTCCTAGACAATATGAGAATATAATTGATTGGCTTATTTCTGAATAACCTGTTAGGATTAGTGGTTAATTCTCATATAACAGTTAAGACATATTGTAATTAATAAAAAAAAATAAAAAAAACTGTAATGCCTGAAATAATTTTTTACATATCTGATTCTTGGCATTTGCATTCATTAGATAGCGTTTCGTTAAATGTAGTGCTATGCAAAGGTTCATTAAAATTGCCAACAAAAATATCTTTGCCGATATTTACCAAACAACTAATCAGCATGATTCGAAACTG